ACCATACATAAACCAGTCCACAACTTATTGTCGACGACTGATAGTCGACGACCTGTCCACGACCTGACGAGGATTGGGACGCGATTCGGAACTTGGATGTGTTGGAACACATTTTTATGTTGTCAGACACACTCTGCTATGTAATAACGTCAAAGTAAAAGCAAATTTAACAAATGTAAAATTTTGAATTGGTAAGTAAAAAAATTATAAAACTCATGAAAAGATTTATAAATTTTAATTATTGGATTTTTAGAGTTGGTGGTGGTTTATTTACGAGCTCACTTTCGTTTTGCGCATATCTTGACAATTCGTTCATATTCACACCCAGGAACTGATTTGACAGTACAGAAACTGGTTTGTGATTAGGTTTGGGTGTGTTGGAACACTAGGTTTTTGTACAGTTTTGAGTCCGAAGTTTGTTGGAACACCAAATCTAGACTGCGCAGAATCCCGACAGTACGCAAACCGATTTGCTATTGTGTTGGAACAAACCTTAGGAATACTATTTTTAAACCAAACATCTCAATTATTTTTTATTTATTGATAGTTATAGATGATATACAGGGTGTCCCGAAATTAGACGGTCATATTTTAAAAGTGTAATCTACATCCTAAAATAGTAGTAAAAGTTCATATAAACAGGTCCGAAAACTTTTATTTTCCGAGATACAGGGTGTTAAAGGTGAAGTCCTGATACCACACTTTTGTAAATATTTTCTAAACGTTTAAAGATAATTAGGTAAAATTTATTGGACCCCCAGTTATTGATCATCTTCTTAGGTGGGTAAATTAGGGAGAGCTTAGGGTAAAATTGCCGTGTGTGTCTGTGTGTCTATATTCACCATAACTCATGAACCGATACACAGAAAAACACTAAATTTTAAACTTAAGTTTTATTTCGGCCTGACGTGAAATAATTAGATTTTGGACAAAGTCGGAACATCTGGGGGGTACTTTAAGGGAGGCCGTTTTTATATTTTATTAAATATATCTGTTATTTATGTTTGGAGAAGAACATTATTCAAATAAAAGTTACTTCTAATATTATTATCTATAATTTTTGCTTTAAGTCAAAATTTCCTGAAATAGTCCGTATTCGAGAAATTTGACAAAATGTGCAAAATTCTAAACTAAACTAAAAGTTGTTTGCGATATCGATCTCTATAATTTTTGTTTATACATGATTTTTCTAAAATGGACCGTAATGGAAAAATTGTAGGAAAATTGCTAAATTTAAATTTTTCAGTATTTTCGTTTTCAATGAATAACTATAGAAAAATGTTTCGAGGTAGATAGATGTATGTGGAAAATGTATATATTTAGTTTATCTTCTAAACATTTATAGAGGTACTGCAATAAGTTCTACAAAATAACCAGAAAAAGCCTATAATAACTAGATAGGAAAGTCATGTGTTGGACACATCAGATTTTTTGACATTTGTTGCATCTCGCTAGGACGCGCCATTTTCAAGAGAAAAGCATGTTACCTTATTCGAAAGTGTAAACAATAATTAGTAGGTCTGTAGAATTAGAAATTTTATTTTTTTTTTAACTTTGAAAAACCGGTAACTAAAGAAATTTTAGAAAATATTTCATCTGGACTTCACTTGTAACACCCTGTATCTCGAAAACAAAACGTTTTCGGACCTATGTTTATATAAACTTTTACTCCTATTTTTAACCGACTTCATAAAAGGAGGAGGGAGGTTCTCAATTCGTCGCAATCTTTTTTTTATTTTTTTTTTATGTATGTTCAGCGATAATTCTTTAACACGGTGTCCGATTTTATTGATTCTTTTTTTGTTAGAAAGGGGGTACTTCAGGGGTAGTCCAATATAAATTTGGTCAAAATCTAATAATTGGGTCCATGACAAAATCCTCAAACTCTTCATTTTTTATGTATGTTTAGCGATAATGCTTTACCACCTTGTCCGATTCATATGATTCTTTTTTTGTTAGTAAGGGGGTACCTCAGGGATGTTTTTTTTATTTATTATAGATACAAACTAGCTACAGCATTGAATATTTTATAAATAATTATCATATACATAAATAATTGGATAATTGCAAATAAGTAAAGTTCTTTTTAGCTAAATGATTTTAGATTTTAGTTATATTTAAATTAATAAAATCTTAAAATATTTATCCTTGTTTAGTTAATATCCATTATTGCAATTTAGATCTATAAAGACCTATCGAATTTAGGTTTTTAAATTCCACCGGAAGTGCGTTAAATATTTTAAGACCGAGGTATAAAACAGTATTAGTTTCGAAAGCAAATATAATTATTATCACAGTATAACACTGATTCGTGATTCGTATCCGTGATCCGAAAAAAAGGATTCGAACATTGGATCCGTGATTCGAATCACATCTCGTGATTCGGATTCGTGATTCGAATCCATTTTTTCGAGGATTCGTCCCAGCTCTGGGTGACGGCATCTGCACGTTTTTGAATTCGGTTTTTTTTAATTTTTAATACTTGTAGGATGTAGATTACGCTGTTAAAATATGACCGTCTAATTTCGGGACACCCTGTATATTGGAAATTCGAAATAATAGTTATGACGTAGCGGTGTTTTTCTAATTGTAATCGGACCCTAGGTATATGGATACGGAAAGTGATGAATTGGAGATAGGTAAATTGTATTTATTGTATTAAAGGAACAACAAATATAAGTACAATAAAATAAGTATATCAATATAACAATTTTTTTAAATCTGTATTAAAAAAAATTTTTTTCACATGTTATTAAATTAAAAAAATAACTATTAAAACACGAAATGTTAATTTTTTCTCTTTTACAACACAAAATATACAATACTGTTGAATCAAAATTTTCTCTTGGCAGCAGGTGGTTTTTGTGACGCGACAATTATGATGCTTTGCATCTCATGAATTAAAGTTAATTCTCTTTCAATCTTAAGGTGTTTATACCCCTTATAATTATCGGACAAGAATATCTCAAAATATTTAAATTTTGGCAAAATAAATTAGGCAATAATATCTATAATATGCATATATTTTAAGGTTTTAATTCCTTCCAGTTTCCCAAAGAAACTAAAAGGGCTTTAATTTTGAAATATCATAATGAAAATAAATGCATTCCTCGACAGTACTATTCTTAATATAATCCCCAAATTTAAGCCTCTAATGTCTTGTTAATGATTTCTTAAAATTCGCCAAAATTAGTGGCTAAAACGCTTCGTTAAGTGCTATCTTCTGGTGTAAACTGGTGTAAATTATTGCAAGAAACGAATAATGACAGAGTATACGATACGATAGTTACAAGCCCGTTACACTGTTTTTTACTCAATTTATTAAAAAAATAATAATAATAAATTAGGGTGTTAATTTTTTTTCTCTGAAGCTATTGGTTTTGGGAAAAAAATTCAAGAATAAAAAAAATTTAAATAAATCAAGGATTTCATAAAAGTTCATCTCGAAAAAAAGTTTTGATATGAAATAAAGTAAGTGTTGCTAATTTCACCCCCCTATAATGTAACAGAAATATTGAAAAAATACCCGTGGTTAATCCTTTGCGATTACAGAACTTCAAGTTTCTAGCTTTACTGAAATTTTAGAAAAAAAATTAAAACTCAATTTTAGTCACCACTTTTTAAGGGTGATATCTCGAAAAGGGGTGGGCTGAGGAAATTTTGTTATAGAAAAGACCCATCTTAATTTCATACGAGCACTCAGTTCCTGAATTTTGTCGCATGTATTTAGAAACACCCTGTATATTACACATTTTTTTAAGCGTGCAAAATTCTTGAAAATCTCTTTTCCCTAATTGGCACATGTCGTATTTTTCTAGGATTTACTAACTCTGGCAGCAAACAAATAAAATAGAAATTTGTCAGCTGTGCATTTTTCCTTTCAGAATTTTTTATTTCATAAATTAACTAAAAACTAAATTAAACAAAAACCTAACAACGCCTCAACAACAAACTAAGACGATCACAATAATTTCGCACCTCTTCAAAAACAACTACCTATTTTTCGACACAGGAATTAACAAATTTAACTAAACGGCAGCTAACCTTTTAACCACGGGCTTCAAAGACTAGCAGCGTTGCCATATTCACTGGTATCATTGTTTTAATAGAATTAGTATCGGAATGAAAACGATGTTAATCTTCGGTCCTGTTTAAAATTGGTAATCTTTTTGAAAAAAAGTTACTTAGAAAATAGTTAAGATATTTGTTATAGAATGCCGGTAAAGAGCCAAAAAGTTAAATTTATTAAAAAGTTGAAATTTTTGTTGTTTTTCTTTAAACATATAAGTTTTTCGCGGTTTAGCGAAATTCTTGGTTCATTTTTACAACGATTGGCCTGAACCATTTTTTTTTACAATTTTTTTTAACTGCCTCAAATGTAAAATTGATTTTTGGTGGAGGAGCGCCCGTCATGTTTGCTCTTAAGATCAAGCATGGATGACATGAATAATAGAGTCGCCTATTTGTCAACATGATAATGAAATTGCTGATTTGAATCACCTGTTTTTTAATTGTAAAATAAATCCAGGAACTGCTAACTTCATGGTCAAACTAAATAAGTTAAATTTACAATTTCCCACCAACATTCAAGTTTTACTGGCAACGGAGAATAAAGAAATTTACAACTTAATAGTAGAATTTATCTCAATAAATAAAATTTCCATTTAATTTGGTTAATTATTCAATTAAATATTTAAATGTTATGTGTGGCTAAAGGATCAATATCCAAAATCAAAAAAAAGTAATTTTAATTTAAATTTAATTTAATGAAGTTCTATCAATAGACCTCAGCAGCTTTTTAATATAGATACGATATTATTTTTAATCCTTAAAAAACAGTTCTGTTCTATCTCTGTTGTAATCAATTATTGTTACCAATTGTTTATATTTACTTTTCAGAGTAATCACTTCATACTAATTAAATTAAAACAATCAATAACAATTATACCTGCAATTGATAAAATTCTAATTGGATTTTTTAAATCTCACGTACATTTCAGGCGATATAATCTACCCTAAAGGAGTAACAATAACGATGCTGCTCTACTGGCTGCACCACCACGAGGATTATTATCACGATCCTGAAAAATTTGATCCTGAACGATTCAATTCCGATAATCCCCAACCTCCAACTTTTGCATATGTGCCTTTTAGTGCTGGTCCCAGAAATTGTATTGGTAAGTAATTTACTATTTTTGTATACGACATACGAAAAACTTTGATTACAAACTATATCTAATGTTCTTGAGTTAATGGTCTTAAATAAGAGTTAATTTTTGCAAATTATCAAATGCAATTTAAAGAAAGGTATTTAAAAATGTTTTTTCACTCTTCAAACTCCACCTATCACACTTAATCTTTATTCAGGAATTCCAGGTTTTAAGTGTGTTATTAGTACAACACCTACTTATTATACCACTGTTTCGGATTCCTATTGAATACTCAATACTCATTTACTCTGTTATCACCAACATTACCTGTTAGATGGTTAAACACTGGTTAGCTACCTGACGATGGCTTAATTGGAGCATAATCCGTCTTTTGTGTTGTGATAGAGTCAACAACTATACCTTTAGAGCTTCTGAATTCTTTGACTGAAATGCATTATCAATTAAATCTAAACAAACCATATTAAACGACGTACCAATGTATAAAATTTGTTTTAAAATTTCTAGGTCAAAAATATGCCCTGATGGAGTTAAAAACCGTTCTCACAAGAATCATAATGGAATTTGTAATAGAACCAGTAGTTGGAGCAAAGTTGGAACTAGGTTTGGCAATGGTTTTACAATCTAAATACGGATTTCCAATCAAGATTAGAAAGAGATGATTTAAATAATTTCCTTATTTATATAAGATCAAATTATTCCCACAAATAATGCTATATACAGGGTGTCCCAATGAAAAGTAGCCCGTTTCCAGATCTTATAACTTTTAAGCGCCTAATCGTAGAAAAGTGCGGTTTTCGCTGATATGTGTTATTTTGCTATAAGCTTTGGTTTAGTGTCACAGAAATTATGTATTACTACAGGGTGTTTTTTAAAAATCTCTTTTAAATTCACCGTAACCAAATTTTATCAAATTTATTTTGTAAAATACAATGTACAAATTATACATTTTTGAAAAGTAGAAGAGTGTATCTTTTAGATGACCTAAACATATACAGGATGTTCCATTTGATAAAATTTTGTTACGGTGAATTTAAAACGGGAAATACCGCACGTTTCTATGATTAGGTGTTTAAAAGTTATATGCTCTGGAAATGGGCTACTTTTTATTGGGACACCCTGTATATATTTGTTAAATTAAAATAGATGACAGGTTTCGGCTAATGAGCTATTATCAATTCTGAAAATATAAGTAAAAGTAACATATTTTAGAGGTGTTGATTTCTAACATATTGTATATTATTTGTTGTTATTTTTACTTTCGTTTTTAGACTTGATGGTTATTTAGGCCTGATATAATTTGTCAATAAATAAATGTGGAATTGATTCCATATTTAATGTGTCAATTAATTAATTAGTATCTTTTTTTGACATTGGCCTTTTTTAAATTAAAATAAAGTGTTCGGTCAAAAGATGTTGTTTTATTTTTTATCATTAATTTCAGAAATACCTTTGTTAAAAACTTTATGTGCAGGGCATAGTGGTGCATTTATTCCAGCGTCTAATCAACTGATTAGATTTTGGGCAGAGTCGGAACATCTGGGGGGGTACTTTATAGGTGGTAATTTTTATATTTTATAGAATATATCTGTTATTTACGTTTGGAGAAGAAAATTCTTCAAATAAAAGTTACTTCTTATATAATTATCTATAATTTTTGTTGTATACATAATTTTTTTTAAATGGACCGTATTCGAGATATTTGAGAAAATGTGTAAATTTCGAATTTTGAAGAAAACTCCAAAGCGGATAAAGAAAAAATCATTAAATTTTAAACTTAAGGTTTATTTCGGCCTGACGTAAAATTATTAGATTTTGGACAAAGTCGGAACATCTAGGGGGGTACTTTATGGGAGGCCGTTTTTATATTTTATGGAATATATCTGTTATTTATGTTTGGAGAAGAAAATTGTTCGAATAAAAGTTACTTCTAATATTATTATCTATAATTTTTGTTCTATGTCAAAATTTCCAGAAATGGTTCGTATTCGAGAAATTTAACAAAATGTGCAAAATTCTGATTTTTATGAAAATTGTTGAACTAAAATTTGTTTGCGATATCGATCTCTATAATTTTTGTTCATACATGATTTTTATAAAATGGACCGTAATGGAAAAGTGCTAAATTTAAATTTTTCAGTATTTTCGTTTTCAATGAATATCTATAGAAAATGGTTCGAGGTAGGTGTATGTGGACAATGTATATATTTAGTTTATCCTCTAAAATTTATAGAGATGCTGCAATAGGTTGTACAAAATAACCGGAAAAATCCTATAATAACTAGATAAGAAAGTCATGTGTTGGACACATCAGATTTTTTTTTAAAATATCCGGAAGGCTTTCCTGATTATAAAAGTGTAAGATGACACTCGATATCTGTTGATGTTATTGTTTTAACAACGAAAAATTAATTAAGCCAGAAAAAATGCATTTTTGCAATGAATTAATTTTTTTTATATTCTTTAGGATATTTCGAAAAAAAAAGTCTTTACGCCCATCATTGTATCTTTAACCTTTTAATTGTTTTGAATGTTTTAAAATCCGAAATTGACGAAAATTCTAATTTTCTTGAATTAAATAATATACCTTAAAATTTAAAATGCTATAATTTTAAATTTTTTACAGAATATTCAAACTATAATAAACAAAATAAACTAAATAAATTTTCAAAATTTTGTTTGTTGTTATGTTAGCGTTATTTGTTAGCCAATAAACCAACCGACTAAATTGACTAAGCAAATAACCTGCCTGCAGAAGCAATCCAAGCGGCTTGGTTGCTTTTTGCATAAAACAGAAGAGAGTTGGTGACTATTCGTTATTTGATTCTGTGTAAGAATGAGTGTAAAGTATTAAAATTAGGAAAACGAATATTTTTGTGATACAATATAAGTGATAATATCAGCATATTTCAAAGAATTCTTCTGATGACAAAAGCTATTGGATAGGAAGAGGAAATCGCAAGCTTTGGTCAAGTAGATCATGTATTAAGATAATAAATATGAGAATAAAAAAGTTAGCTGTTTAAAAACACGTAAGATACCTATAAAAAAAGAGATATCAGAAAATCAAAAAGGGTATCTGGCATTATTTAAAGACTTACTAATACCACTGTGGCTTGAAGGAAAAAAGTATAAAACCCAACGATAGAAGACAAAAATCTGCAATGCATTTAATTCCGAACGAGTGCTTGTAATTTTGTGAACATATAATGTGGATGCATTCAGCGAAGCGTCTGATTTTTAACTGGCACCTGTGATGGTACAATAAATTAAAAAGACAATATATATTTTTTACTACTTTCCTTTAGCAGTAAAGCATGCAACATTTTATGAAATTAAGATATGAAAAAAAAAACACGATATTATTACATATACCTATAGTAGTTACAAATTTACAGAAAGACGATGGAAAGAAGATGGAAAAAATACGGTTAAAAGATGGTAACAAGAAGGTAAGAAGGTGGGAGATTTTAGGTAAAAACGTTAAAACAAGAACAAGAAGATGTGCCTACTCGTTAATATTTGCACCTCTACAATATTTTTACATCGTGTAAGTATCATAAATTCTAGTACGAAACACTAGTTTTTTGTATTTTATTATTTTCATAATTTCCTGCTATATAACTGGAATTAAAGTTATACAAAATAAAATTCATAAATTACCTTTTTGTCGATTGGCCGTTACGACTTACTAAACCCATGATGACTTACCTGAAAAAAAAAAAAAAATATTAGTATATTTAGATACATTTCGACATCTCAAATATTAATTAATAATAATAGTTTTAAAAAGTAATTCCAAAATAACATAAATCAACACACTAAAGGTTAAAAAAAAAGAAAACCCTGCTCTTACAATGTCATCTACTTTTGTCCATTAAGAACAGTTTAATTGCATTAATTTTATTATCAAATTTATTTAAAAATGGAAAAACATAAAGAGCTAAGATTTGGTAGACTTTCTTAAATAACTCAGGGCAGTTGCTGACCTAATATTAATAATGAAGTTTTAAAAACATAAATAAATCTTTAAACAATTATAAAAAAAACAAAATATGATTTTTTAAGGGGTCAAATAGTCTACTACTAAACAATTACAATTATGTTAACACTATTTCTCAAAGCGTTGTTATAAAATGTAATAACATACAATATGAAGAACTATAAAAAAGCCAAAATTTCAAACAATATACGCGACATTACCTTTCAATACCTGCTGTCCCGATAATTTTAGTACCGACATTCGTCGATAGGTCGAAGAACAAGCGATTCTAATGCTCTACCACCATTTAAAGTTTTGTAATGCAAGCTATTTCGTTATTCAGTCATGCTCTAATCCTCCAAGTCCCTCTCCGTCTTATTTGGCCTTTGAGGCTCAACTTGTCCGATTATCATACATAATTAAACCCCTTAAGACCAAACATATGTGACAAGTATGGCGAAAGCGTTTTCGAGAATACTCCAGATAGAAAGTGATAATGTTTCTAGTTCTGGCGGGGAGCATTCTGGAATCCACCAGAATTTTAAATGTGTATATAAATATTGGTGAAGGAACACGAAGTCAGTCAGTCGTATACAAACAGTTGTGAAGAGAAATAGTGAACAATTTAAAGACATTCGAAATATATAAATTAGAATAGTATTGATTGTAAATAAATAAGTGTTCAAATAAATTTTAGCAAATAAACTGTTGTTTAAAATAAACAAACGTCACTGTTTAAAGAAAAGATGAAATGTGTGTATATTTTAAGAGTACCTGTTATATGGGAACATCGTCAAATCTTTGGATTCTGCATTTGTAACTAAATCGTTGGAAAATTAATTGTGTGTATGGACAAAATAAATTCATGATATTGTCTTGAGTTGATTGCATTTGGTTTTTTTTTTATTTGTTATTTTGGTTTCTTTTGCAAATAAAAAATATAAAAAACCTCAATCTATGAAAGAAACAATGTTTTCCATTTTTTATTTGTTTATTATTTATGTAATTAGATAAAATGGCTTGCATATTTGAATATATTTAAATTAAGTATGAATGTTTTGTAAGAGAGTAGAGGGAGACATACTGGATGTTGCAGAAGAAACGTGAAAACTTAAAATGCTATTTAAAATAACCAAAAAAGGTTGACAGCTGTGTGCACGTAGTTTAGATTCAAAAGGAAAGACTTGTATTTCGTGCAAAACTTTTTAATTAATAAATGCAAAGCGCTTTCGGCTTATTTGCCATCATCAGTGCCTATCTACAAAAATTGTGGATGTAAACTTACAATTTAAAAAATATAAAATCTGAATAAGACCTTTAAGTCAATTTTAACTTTTGACTATGTTTAAATTGAGGAATGTATATTATAAAATTTGAACACTGTGTTTTTTAAAATAAAATTTGTTTCTAAACTTTCTATTTTTATTGCTACCTTAAATGTTTTTTTTTATTTTTTTCATGTGATGGAAATTTATTCCATCGAAAGTGCCACACGCAAAATATAATATTAATGGAAAATTTAATATTCACTTTTAAACAATTTACCACTGTTTTAACACAAATCGAAGCTAGACTTTTACAAAAAAAAATTAGAAAAAATAGCAATTACAATATCTCATGTTTGGATAATATACAGGGTATCTGGGAAAATGTGGGAGGTCTCTCGGATTCAGACAAAACATTAAAATATAAGATGACAAAATCCCATAATTTTTTTTCCTAGCGGCCCTCACTATGGAGATAATGCCTCCAAAAGGACGCCACTGGAAACTTTTTTTTTAAATAACTTTTAAACTATTATAATTTAATGAAAATGTAATATGATAAACAGTAGTAAGAACCTCTTAAAATACTGCCCTTAAAACATAATTAGCTTGTTTAGTTTACCAGGGGCGGATTAGATTGTACATTTTAATGCTTACATTTTTAACACCCTGTATGATAAAATAAATTTCGATACCTTAAACATTAGGCTAAAGAAAAGGTACTTCTCTTCATTGTCGATAAAATGAACCGTTTTCGAAAAAAAAATATAATAAAAGAATTATTGTTTTATTTTTATTAAGAAATTAAACTCCCAGAATTAGATAATTTAAAAATTGGTAAATTCTAAAATACAATTTGGAGTATTATGTTTTCATCCTAAACTCACTAAAGCTTGTAACGATTGAACCAAAATACGCTAATTAGAAATAATCAATTAAAAACTATATAAGTGGTTTCAACATGTGCTCCGTGAACTCTGATATACTCGCGGGCCCGACGAACAGAGGACTGCTGTACACGCCACAACAACCCAGCATTGTTCCTTAATGAAATGTGATTCTCTGTAAGAGTTCCTCCCTAGTATCAACCGGAGAGGAATACATCAAGGTTTTGAGATTACCTCACAGTTAAAAATCCATTGGCGTAAGGTAGGGAGACCATGGAGGCCAGGCCATGACCTCCTCTGCCTATCCAAAGGTGTTTATAGACGTTATTTAGGTGGTCCCGTACAGCGACGCTAAAGTGAGTCGGAGCTCCATCATGCATAAAATACATGCTTCGGTCGGTTTAAAGTGGCAAATGCTCTATTGAATCCAGAAAAGCGTTCTGAAGGAACTGTAAATAAAGTTCACCATTTAATCGTGGCGGCAATACGCATGGTCCAATCAAAAAATTGCCAATTATTCCTGCCCGAACATTAATTGATTGGAACTGATGTTGATAATGATGAACAACAGTGGCATGAGGGTTTTTATTAGCCCATACATGCAAGTTATGTAAATTTACAATACCGTTTTTGGTAAACCCTGCATCATCGGTAAAAAGTATAGTACTAATGAAGTTTCCGTTTGTTCGTTGCTGATCTAAGAGCCAGTTTGCGAACTGGATTCTTAGAGGAAAATCTTCAGGAAGTAGCTGATGCACTTTTTGCAGATTATAAGGGTATAACAACTGTTCTTTAAGTACTTCAGCAATTGTCGTTTTTGACACATGAAATTGTGCGGCTAATCTTCGAGTGCTTATTAAAGGAGTATCAGCTACAGTATCCAAAATATTTTCCTCCAGTTGCACCGTACGTACTGTTCTTGTCACAACAGCTTCAGTACTTGTTTTCCCAAAACTTCCTAAAAATTATTAAAGAAAGTCAATAATGTTACCTTAATAACTGGGAATCGCCCACCAGTCTGTCTTAGACGTTGGTCAAGTGGCTGAAATGTTTTCTCATTTGGAATATTGCGATTAGGATATCTTTCTTCATACAACCTTCTTGCTTCATTAGCATTCAACGTGTCAACAAGATTTAAAATGCACACGTCAATGCAATTATAAATTTATTTATTTCGTAGGTACCACAGTAACGTTTGTAAAAACAGTGCGTTTTTTAATACTGATAACAGTTCTATTTCAATGACTTTCGTATCACACTTTGCTGCAGACAAAAAAAATTGGAAATCATGGTTGCTTTTTAATAAAAATAAAACATTCATTCTTTTTTTTATCTCGAAAACGGTTCATTTTATCGACAATGAAGAAGAGTACCTTTTCTTTAGCTTCAAGGTAAGCATTAAAATGTACAACCTAGTCCGCCCCTGGTAAACTAAACAAGCTAATTATGTTTTAAGGGCAGTATTTTAAGAGATTCTTACTACTGTTTATCATATTAAATTTTCATTAAATTACATTACGTAGTTTGAAAGTAATTCAAGAAAAAGTGATTTCCAGTGGCGTCCTTTTGGAGGCCGTATCTCCGTAGGGAGGGCCGCTAGGAAAAAATGTATAAGAACTTGTCATCTTATTTTTTAATGTTCTATCTAAATTAAGTTAATGTTTTGTGTGGCATTTCAATAATGTATTAATTACGCTATACATTTTATCTAATTACGATTATCAAATATTTTCAATTTTCCTAAAATAGTATGCAAGTGATTTGAGATTTCGCATGTTTTTTATTAATACGTAAAATGTTATTATTATTATGCTGAAATTTAGACTTTGTATCTTAGATTAGAGAAGTACAAAAATATATAAATTATCTCGAATGCATTTTTGCTTATAAAAAACAATATCAAAACAAACCCAGTGGTCATTTAATAATGTAGTGAGCCTTATTAAACATGGGTGCTTTGATTGGTTTAATAGTAGTGATAGTTTCAATTTTATTCTTGGACTGGTGCTATAAGGTTTACAAAAGGAATAAACAGCTGGAGAAAATACCTGGACCGTGGCCTATTCCATTTTTCGGTTACAAGCTACCAACAAATGTATTTGGTATGCTATCAAATCATATTACCTTTTTTTTTTATATACATTAATTAAAACCCCTTACAAGATATAAACTGTTAAGTTTTTCAGTGGGAAAGAAATATAGGGAAAATTATGGGGAAAGATGGGGAATATTGACCACTTATCCATTTAAAATTACGGTAAAAGGTCGAGAAACGCCGCACTTGACGAGACCGCTTGTCCCTTACGTATTTTTGGACGCTGATTACGAAAATGAGGGTTAAAACTGGCAGCAATGGATGGAACACCCCTAAAATTGCAAAAAACACCCCCAGATAGGGGCGTTTTTCGACTGTACTTGTTGTTTTGCAAACTAACTCATCTCATATGTTGTTTGGGTCGCTGATTAAGAAAATCGGGGTTAAAACTTGCAGCAATGGTTGAACCACCCCTAAAATTGCAAAAAAACACCCCTGTGCTTGTTGTTTTGCAAATTAACTCATCTCATATGTTTTTTGTGTGACAATATTAATTTCTCAATAAATTCCACGGTAACCTATATATTTTATTGTAAAAAACAAAACCTAAATATTTCAAAAACCTTATTTTTAGTTTTTTTTCTACTCCATCTAATAAATAAATAATAGTAAAATTAATTATAATTCGAAAATTGTTGTTGAAGTCTTACTTTTTTGTAAGACACTGTACAAATACACATTTAAAAAAAAATTCTCAAAAATTTGCAGGGTAAGGTATAGTTAAAAGTTCACTATTAAATAAATAAGGACTTCAACTATTAGAAACAAATTAATTTTAGTCATAATCTAATATTTTTTATTTAACATTGGTGGCGAAAGGACCTTCTTAAAGGTAATACCTAGGTATAGGTATTTTTCATCTGTTTCTATTTAATTTTTTTATGTTGCAGCTGCCACATCTCAAATAAAAAGAAAATCGCCTTTAAAACTGTCAGTTGTTAAGGAATATTCTTATGACTCTGTTCCATCTACTGTTCCATCTACTTCAAAATCTAACAAAGACTAATAATTTTGTATTAGTAATAAAAATACCTCAAACTAAAAAAAATCCCAATCAGTATGAATGTAATAATTAGAACACACAAGGGTTAGTTAATGAGAGTAATTTGTTTCAAGATAAACTAGTAACTCCTCCCGAACAACACATAGAAGATGTAAATTAATATTTTGCAGTTAATAAAAAGTGTTGACAGTACTGTACAAGTGAAAACAGTAAAAAGTATAGTTTTACCATGTGTTGATTTATTAGAGTTTGAAAATTCAATTAGTGTAAAAATTTACATTAACCATCACTTTTGGAAACTTGATTTACAAGTAATATATCTAAACCTACCAGAGTAAGCAGAATTTCAAAACATTACTTGATGTTATATTTTTAAGAACTTTTTGGTTATTATGCTGGTAATATAGAGGTATCTTATACCTCTGCTGAATACTGTTTTTTTTTGTAAATTTGCTGAAAAGGAAACTAATCACAAGAATGGGCCATGTTCACATGTGAGATATGCTGTTTTATAAAGTATATTGTAATAGTTAATCACTATACAAGTTATTCTAAATAATCAGTTTGTTAAAAAAGCCAAAAGTTTTTAAAGTTAAATCATTTACAATTTAAAATTTTAAACGTGTAGGTCATCAGGAATACCCCAGTTATCAGCTTGTGTCGAAGTTTCGTTTGTTATACAGAACCAAGCTAAGGAACAAACCGACTTTCTCGATTCTCGATTTATTTCTCTTGTCTTTGCTAATTAGCTTAATTTTAATATTAATAACAGTTTGTTAGCTGGATTTATTAAAGCTGATTCAAGTGTTTTATCCGTTGTAGATCAAGATATGATTACTGCATTTTTTAACAATACTCAGTTTATAAGTGCCAAAGTTAAGCATGTTAAGACAGGAAGGTATGTAACACTTTATTTATAATTTGTTTTAATAGTAGGTAAATTTTATATGGAGCAATACACCTTATAGTACAAACATATTTATCTCAGGTCATTAGGGTTGTTCGACAACAATTTTTTAAAAATAAACATTTTACCTTTACCTTTTACCTCATTTATATGTATAAGAAAAAATATTAGCTTACACTGATATCCACAAATATACCACTAGAAATTGGGACGGTATATCTGTACCTTGAAGCAACAAGGGCCAATCTCTAATTTAAGCAAGAGAGCGACATTTAAAGCTGTGCTCTTGGTATTATTTCTATAATTAGAAGTAAAAGTATAACTTTGTATTACCTGAAAAATAGCAAATTTATTATTGTACAAAACGAATTTATACAATTTGCCTACCTCAAAAATTAAAACTAAATAACATCTAAAACTATTTAGGTGGGTAGTGCACAAGTATTTACTGTAATACTATTTTTATTTTGTCGAAGATTACCTACTTGCTACATGTCATTGTAAATATTTGTAATTTAAGTACATTTTTGTGTATGAATGACTACTTTTTGTTATATTATATTATACACATGTCTAGTATTTACATGAATAAATTTACCATAATATTGCTAAATTGAAATAATAAAAACAAAAATATATTTATTATTTTATGAAATAATTTGGAACATAGAAAAGTAATAAAAATTGAAAAAAATAGAAATCCATAAAAATGTACTCATGAAAATACTAAAAAAATCATCACCTTGTTAAATATTTTATTATTTTTAGATCTGCTAGGCAAGTATATGGAGATAATGCGATTTTCCATGAATAAGTTGAGAAAAGGAGATATTTGCACAGTAAACGGAATAATTTCACATGAACATAAAGTATTTTGTACTGTTTCTCCCACATTTGAAGTAAATAATGCTGAGGTAGATAACAAGTTGAACTTGATTTAGAGAAACGTTTAATTTGTTCAACTACATTATTGTTAGGGCTTGTATATATTTTTTATTATTTTTAAATAAAGAATTTTTTTACTTCGTTTATCTTATTCAGGTACTTTTATTTTTTATTAATAGGTTATTAAATAAAATTTTCACAGATTTTACATTTTTGTTTGTATACATTTATTATAATCTCTTTAATAATGTAATAAATTAATTAAAAAAACACACAATTAAACAGTTTATTAAATTATTAAGTATTTAGTGTTACAAAATGGCCCAGCGAAAATGGTAGAGGAAGTGAATTTTGTAAAAAAACATAACAAAAACTTGAAAATAAACCAAAAACCAGCCATAAATCACGTGCATGCCTTTTCACGCACTACTTTAAAATGTTGGACACAAAAAATGGCCCAGCATAACGAAAATATTAAGAAAATAAGTCAAGTTTTTAAGAGCACGTACCACTTGTAATGCCTATAGTGACTAAGTGCACCAGTATGAACGTCGCGCTTTCGTGAGTTTGTTGGACAAGTATCGTGGTACAATTTAATAATAAACTAAGCCATACATAAATAAATCACAAACCTGCACGTTGGCTCTAGGACTATTAAATTTTATTTTTCTAATATCCTCTTTAGTCCATGAGAAATAGCTATTGTAAGTTTTAAGGTTGTTAACCCTTATACAACAGAAAAGTCCTTGAAAAGCGGTTCTGAATTTTACCTTCTTTTCGGGTTGGTAAATAATAATCTTACAATAGAATAATTACAACTGGTTATTTACCTTTATGGCAGATTAATAAGGCAAGTATTTCCGGATATATACAATGCTCCTCAATCTCATCTTTCAATTGTGAGACACTTTCAGACAACAACACAATAAGACCACTGTTTTCAACCCTGTTTACAGGACTGATTTTGCCCTCTTCAAATCCTTCCCCGTTCCTAAAATGAAACTTTGGTAACAACGGCGATGTAATGGCTCTATTCTGCACTACCGTAAGTGCCGTGGAGTGCTTCAAACAATGGACAAAATAGCTGGGCATATATAGAGGGTGAAAAATCTCAATCACGAACGTTGGGAATAAGGATTGAACGAAAAATATTTGTCTTAAAATAGAAATTAGAAAAAGATTATATTGCTATCGAGTGGGGTATCAAACTAAAGCTCTTTGAATAACGATTTTAAAAATGTATATGTCTATTTAAAGTTTCTGGAAAAAATCTGATGTGTCCAACACATGACTTTCCTATCTAGTTAACCTATTGCAGCATCTCTAAAAATGTTTAGAGGATAAACTAAATATATACATTTTCCACATACATCTACCTCGAAATATTTTTTTATAGATATTCATTGAAAACGAAAATACTGAAAAATTTTAATTTAGCACTTTTCCTCCAATTTTTCCGTTACGGTCCATTTTAGAAAAGTCATTTAAAAACAAAAATTATAGAGATCGATATCGCAAACAACTTTTAGATTAACAATTTTCTTAAAAATCAGAATTTTGCACATTTTGTCAAATTTCTCGAATACGGACCATTTCAGGAAAATTTAACATGGAACAAAAATTATAGATAATAATATTGTAAGTAACTTTTATTTAAAGAATTTTCTTCCCCAAACGTAAATAACGAATATATTCCATAAAATATAAAAATGACCACCAATAAAGTACCCCCCCAAATGTTCCGACTCTGTCCAAAATCTAATCAGCTCATTGGACGCTGAAACAAAGCTCACGTTTAAAATTTGGTGTTTTTCTGTGTATCGGTTCATGAGTTATGCGACCTACAGACACACACACACACACACACACACACACACACACACACACACACACACACACACACACACACACACACACACACACACACACACACACACACACACACACACACACACACACACACACACACACACACACACACACACACACACACACACACACACACACACACACACACACACACACACACACACACACACACACACACACACACACACACACACACACACACACACACACACACACACACACACACACACACACACACACACACACACACACACACACACACACACACACACACACACACACACACACACACACACACACACACACACACACACACACACACACACACACACACACACACACACACACACACACACACACACACACACACACACACACACACACACACACACACACACACACACACACACACACACACACACACACACACACACACACACACACACACACACACACACACACACACACACACACACACACACACACACACACACACACACACACACACACACACACACACACACACACACACACACACACACACACACACACACACACACACACACACACACACACACACACACACACACACACACACACACACACACACACACACACACACACACACACACACACACACACACACACACACACACACACACACACACACACACACACACACACACACACACACACACACACACACACACACACACACACACACACACACACACACACACACACACACACACACACACACACACACACACACACACACACACACACACACACACACACACACACACACACACACACACACACACACACACACACACACACACACACACACACACACACACACACACACACACACACACACACACACACACACACACACACACACACACACACACACACACACACACACACACACACACACACACACACACACACACACACACACACACACACACACACACACACACACACACACACACACACACACACACACACACACACACCCTCGAAAAATCGAAAAATCGAAAAATCGAAAAATCGAAAAATCGAAAAATCGAAAAATCGAAAAATCGAAAAATCGAAAAATCGAAAAATCGAAAAATCGAAAAATCCAAAATTCGAAAAATCGAAAAATCGAAAAATCGAAAAATCGAAAAATCGAAAAATCGAAAAATCGAAAAATCGAAAAATCAAAAAATCGAAAAATCGAAAAATCGAAAAATCGAAAAATCGAAAAATCGAAAAATCGAAAAATCGAAAAATCGAAAAATCGAAAAATCGAAAAATAGAAAAATCGAAAAATCAAAAAATTGAAAAATCGAAAAATCGAAAAATCGAAAAACCGAAAAAATCGAAAAATCGAAAAATCGAAAAATCGAAAAATCGAAAAATCGAAAAATCGAAAAATCGAAAAATCGAAAAATCGAAAAATCGAAAAATCGAAAAATCGAAAAATCGAAAAATCAAAAAATCGAAAAATCGAAAAATCGAAAAATCGAAAAATCGAAAAATCGAAAAATCGAAAAATCGAAAAATCGAAAAATTGAAAAGTCGAAAAATCGAAAAATCGAAAAAGAAATTCCGTAACGAAAATAAACCTAACACCCCCCCCCCCCACTCCGGCCGGCACAGCGGTGCGGCGTTGAAAGCCGTGCATCGTCTAACGTCGTTTCAGTTCGGCAGACTTCGGCACGGTGTTTGTCTGCGTGCGACTAGACGTATGCGTGTAGACTAGCTGCTAACTGCTCATAACGGATTCTATCTCTTTTAGACACAATTTCGGAAAAACTAAATTTAAAAATGAATAATGATCCACAAGAATCCACAACAAAATATGGGACCATCATTGACGCGGTATTTTCCAGATATTTAGAGGATATCAAGTCTCAAACGTATGTTTCTTATTTCAGTTACCATAAACCTATAGTTTCAATGATAAAAATTCCTGAATAACCTACATGTATTGTAAGATAATAAAAATATTTTAAACAATAATAACTTCTCATTTATTCAATAAAAGAAAAAATTTGTTTTCTTATCGGGTTTCTTTGCGTTGATACACTAACTCCGGCGCACTCTATTGCGCCAACTCATTGCGTTAACGCAATTGCGTTATTACGTCACACCACTGCCTGCGCCGAATGAAGTCGATGCACCTCGGTGTATCGCATGATAACGGTGTTATTCAGCGCGGGCTGTCTTTTTATAAGGGTCAAACCGTGTTCAAGACAATAACGCAATTGGGAATTTAACAAATTTTTTTTTTATTATATGTTTAAAATAAACGAAAATATAACAGTGTAATGCACCCATTTTTTTATTTCATTGTGTTTACAAAGAATACAAAAATTCCAATTTATATAAAAAGGATATAACTTTTGTATACTAGTAGCCAATCAAAATGGGAAGAACTAAAAACTGACAGTGTACAAGGTTAAAATCCATAAAATTCGACCTACAATCCTACAAATGATGTGTCATGTTGCAAAGAACATAATTACTTGATAGATTTTGGGTAATCTGCATTACAAGTTGCATCAATTACGTAAATTAAAATTCTCAACTCGTCACGGAAAACGGAATCAGTGCCGGGCGCATGACGCATCAACAACTCGCGATCCTTTCGACTCAGTATCGAAAATTGCGTTGCGCTGATACAGTAACAGCTGGTGTATCAACGCTCGTAACGCATACAACTGCGTTAACGCAATAACGCAACGCAGCGCTGCTTTACCCATGTCTATCACCTCCCCAGTTGCTCTCCTACAAAAACAAGAGTGCCGTTCGCAATATGTCTTAACTGGCTATCGTTGTGGTTTAATTTCGAGTATTAGCGATACTGTTACCCAGTACCGTATCAAGATTATTTAGAATAATATCGTACCGTCCAGTAAATATGTAACAGTATTTATGCCTACTGGCTTTTTAGTGCACTTATTGTTTCCATATTTCAAAAAGAATCTGAAAGTCGCCATCATAGGAGGTTTTAAGGCAATATATTTTTTAATATAAGATAAATAATCAATTTTTAAATTGGTGGGATTCAAAATAGTAAAAATTCTTTCCGTCCCATTTTCAGTTTCAGGAATTCTAATAATAAGTACTGTTTCTTTGTCTTCGATATCATCATATTTTAAATTTGCCAATTCGTCGCCTTGGCATGCGCCGGAGATACCAATTATAAATGCCACCTGGAAAAAACAATACTGATGCAATGACTGATGACTTTATTACTCACTTCAGCAGAAAAAAAGTTTCCTTGGTGCGGATTTGAACCCGGGATCTTCGTCACCGGAGACAAGCATTTTACCACTGCGCCACTCTAACTCTTTGTTATATTATTTATATTTGTAATTTTTCCATAAAAATGAGTGATAAATTACAACACTACCAGTTTTTATTATAAAAATTATATAAATACTTTATAATTCAAATATACTATATAATAATTATTGTAAATTATGCTTACTTTAATCATTAGAAAAGTTGAATTTGGAGCCTTTTTGAGAAAAGTTATATAATTGATATTTTTCTAAAATGTTTGATTTTTTAGCCTTGTACCTACCCCTTGCTCTTGTTTTTTTACAAAACTAACTAATTTATAATATTTTGATGTCAATGTTATTTTTGATTTTTAAAGTTGTTTTTAACCTTTTTTAACATAGAAAATATCGACCATGTTGTGGATGGATTATAGTGTTTTAATTCACTTGAAAAATATGCCAACTGGACATTCTCAAAATATTTGGTAATATTATTTCTTTTACACCATTCCATAAAGAAATTATATTTCGACTGATAAATGTTGGCCTGATTTTTGGGGCAATAAATCTTTCGAAGCATTCTGTGCTGCATCCAATATATTCGGTGGAGTATTTTCGAAATAATCATCAGAATTAGATGAATCCATTGTTAAAATGAAGTTTGTATTGATGACTGTTTTGTTTTCTAAAAAAAATATCTACAATAATATCATAATAATTACCTAAATATTAAATAGATATATTTTTACTTACTTTATTTCAGTTTAAATGTCGAATAGAATAAAGAAATATCTCACAACACGTACTAAATGTCAGTCAATCACAGCCAACTTAACAAGATTGTTAGAAATCTTTAATTACAATTTTAGTAACTTTTATTATTATTTAATATTTACTAATAGGTATTTGCTGAATAAGTTTTAATGTATGATTAAACCAAAAAAATAAAGCAACTAATTTATAATATTTTTGAACATTGATATTGTTCTTGATTTTTAAAGTTAAAATGTCAAATTAAATAAAGAAGTGTCAGTCATCCATAGCCAACTTAGCTGGCTCGTTAGGAACTTAAATAATTTTCGTCAATAGGTATTAAGATTTCACAATAATTTTTATTATTATAATATTTAAACTGGATTGAAATAACTATAAAAATATATCATTTAATTGAAAAAATTAAATACTTAATATACTCAATATAATTTTTATAAGAACTGTTAAACTAAAACTTGTTGCTCTGTGTAAATAAAAACTCTTTACGTACTAGTGCGTGAAGTAAAGTTTTACGAACTCCGTAGCGTGCAATATGATAGTACTTTAAAACGGTAGTAGAAAAATGTATTTTTATTTTTAGATTTGATGCGTATGTTTGATGATCTCACTAAAAAATATGGAAAAACTTGTAAATTATACATTGGCGAATCTCTTCATGTTGTAACATGTGATGCAAATCTAATAGAACAAGTAATGAAATCAAATGTCCACATAAATAAAACTAAACTATACGATATATCAAAACCTTGGTTGAAAGATGGTTTGATTGTTAGTGCAGGTTAGAATTTAATATATTAAATTTTGATTTTAAAAGTGCCTTAAATTAGATATATCGGATGTTTTATTTTTCAGGTGATAAATGGAGACAAAGAAGAAAATTGTGCATACCATCTTTTCATTTTAGCGTGATCAAAAACTTTTTTAAAATTTTCAAAAGATCTTCAGAAACTCTAATAAAAAGACTTGGAGAACAAGCTGATAAATATGTCGAAATAGATGCAAGAGAATTCATATCAAAATTTTCATTCGAAGTTATTGCAGGTAAACAACCAAAAATAAGTATTAAAAATTAGTAGTAACAGATCAATAGTAGTTAGTACCTCTGTTTATAACAACGATGCATTGTATACTTCTGAAGCAGGAATGTGTTTAAATTCGAAATTTATCGAAATAATTCAATGTATTTTGTCATTAAGGAATTATTATCGGTGTAATCGTCCATCACGAAAGATTAAGTTAAGTTTTTAAACTGCTGCAAAAAAAGAAGACTATCACTTGTTAACGACAAATATTCCACATATAATAATATTTTTGTTATTTCAGAATCATCGTTCGGAATAAGAATGAATGTACAGAACGACGAAAACCAGGATTACATTAAATCTGTCGACAAATACACAGAAATTATATTTACAAGAGCTTTTTCAGTGTGGAAACGTTTTGATATTCTATTTAAACTTTTCTCTGAGGATTTCAAAATGCATAAGAGTTCTTTGGATATCATAGATGGGGTGTCGAAGAAAATCATTCAAAATAAACGTGATGAATACGAAAATGGAAATGTGACTGAAATTAAGAAAAATACTAGTTTAATAGACCAACTCATGCACAACGCGAAACTTCCTGATGATGGTGTCTATGAAGAAACAAACAACTTTTTATTTGCAGTTAGTATAATATCAATTAATCATATTTAAATGGTTAAGGTAACCATTCAAATCTTTTTAGGGGTACGACACGACAACCACATCTTTATGTTTTACTTTATTCGAATTGTCTAAACGTATGGATGTGCAAGAAAAATTATATGAAGAAATAAAATTAACTTTAAACAATGATTTCAGCAAACTTAGCCACGAAAATTTAAATTCTATGAAATATTTAGATCAAGTTATAAAAGAAATGTTAAGGTTTCGATCACCGGTACCTCTTATTGAAAGAGTATTGGAAGAAGACTTTAAGCTTGGTAGGTTTTACGGACATATTATATTAATAAAAGCGATTAATGATCGAAGAATTTGTTGAAAATATTAATCGCAGACTTTAGTTAACATGTTAAGGTGGGTTTTCATTAGTCGAATTCAATGTTCAATATCATTAAAATAAAATAGTTTATGTTAATATAACAGAAATAGAAGGGAACATGTATAAAGTAGAACATTTTCAATTTCTTACGAGCACTAAGGGTCGTAGCTCCAATGGCTTCCAATACTTTAATAAAAAAAATTAATACCAAAATAAAAAAAAAATTAATTAACAAAAACAATATTTTCCGCTTTACTTCTTTATTTTGCAATTGCTCTCTACTGCTATACCTTTCGCTTGTCTGTCTCCTATTTTTCTGTCTGTCTTATTTTTGCAATTTCCATATTCTTGCCATATTTTCAAACTTAAAATTTCGCTTTTCATTAAAATTTTTATACCTTTTCTTTTACTCTTGTGTTCACTCTCTCCTTTTCAGTCAACCCTCTCGATTTTTTATTATTTTCACACATTAATCTTCATCTACTTCTGTATTTGATTTTACTACTATTTCATTTTTATTTTCTCTTCGACTTTTCGCTCCATATTCCTTTTGTATCTGTTTTACTTTTATTTTTATCTTATTTTTATTCTTCCATATCATTCCTTTTTATTTTTACAATTATATTATGTTTCTTCTTCTTAATCCTAAACGTTTTGTTTTCTTTATTATTCTGTTTTCTATTTTTCTGTATACTTTGTCTTCTTATTTCTTTAATTTTTTCTTATTTTTTCATTAAATTTCTCAATTTTTCTTTTTCTCTTACTACTTGTTTTCATAATTACTTATTTTTTAACATTATAGCTCTGTTTTCTTCAATAACTCCTTTCTCTTCAATTACTTCTATTTTTTTCTTTCTTCTGTTTTTCTTTCAATAACTTGATTCCTATTTATTTCTTTTTTAACTTTTATTTTAAATATGTTTTTCTTCATCATCTCCTATTTTTTAAATTTTAATCTTTACATCTTTCTATTTCTATTTCTTCTTCATTTATTTCTACACTTTAATTTTTTTTTTTTATCTTCTATTTTATTGTAATGTTTCAATTCTTTCTTTATTTTTTTCGTTCTCTTTCCCAGTTTCTTCCTTAAGTTCTCCATCTTCTCACCAGTTTCACCTAGCAGCTTCTTTTCTATTTCTCGTTTATTTTCGTCCATTATTCTCATTTATATCCAAAATATGTCCTTTATATCTATTTCTTTTTCAAAATCCTTTGTTTTTTCTTCCTCTCGATATTTTACTTGACTTTGCTGATCCTCCTTATCTTGACCAATTTGTTTCGTTTTATCCTTGTATCACTTCTCCTTGTGTCACTTCTTAATTTAATCTATTTCCATTATTTTTAGGATTACTCTATTCTAATGAATAATCTTTTACTACTAAACTATCTAAACATACATGTCCCTCTTTCTTACACTACCTAATCGAACAACTCACACACATTTTTAAAATATAATACATTATTTATAGAGTTTATTTTATATTTTATACACTGCCACACAGGCTTTGATTTCACTAGTTTATCAACTGTGGAAAGATATTTTTTCTACAGTGAGGACGTATAGGTTGGAATAAATTTGATATTTTTCTGTCGAACAAAATGCTTTCACAGGTCAATTTTTATTTTCAACTGCATGTCTTGTGATACAATGGTATGTAATAATGACATCACCACTTTTGTGTACATGACGTCATCGATTTGTTTTTTAAATAAAATAACACAGTTCTCTCTTCATTTTTGAATTTTCCAATAACAATAGATTACAAAAATGTATGTAATACTTTTGATCCAAAGTGGTTTGTGACTGTTATATCAGACATTTTGAATCTAAAATTTTATTGAAAGGACTAGACTAATAAATATGGTTTTATTTTTTAGAGAAATCATATGTAAAGTATTTTTATATAAAAACTGTTTGAGGTTCAAATAACTTAAAATTAATCAAAAGGCGACATGTAACGGTTTATAAAAATTAGGGATAGTAAAGATTTTTTACGTGGATTAGTATAAGTAACGTCAATGGTTCACAAACGTAAAAATTCAACGTTCTCAGTATATTTAATCGTCTTTCGTTCAAAATCAAATATTTTCTTTTATGCTATGGCTTGGCCCGTAGGACATTGGTCTAAAACCATTAATTTCTCGCCCTTCGATATTTTGTTTTTTTTTTTTTCTAAATACGTCCTTATAGTTTAACTATATGATATTGATTATGCTTCTTTAAAATTCCGATTCTTATTTTGTGTCCAATAAAATTAAATTAAATTTATTGAAATCCTGTCAATTAATCTTGTTTATAATTGTTAATATTTTTATAGAATATTATTGTCTACCCTCATTTCTATTCTATCGCTATTGTGAAAAACAACGTCATTGTTATCAATTGTTTATATTCGATTTTTGGAGTAATCATTTTATACTAATTAAATTAAATTAAGTTAAAATAACAATAACAATAACAATAACAAAAACAATTACGATTATAACTGCAATTGATAAAATTCAAATGGAATTTTTCTAAATTTACCTTTATACATTTCAGGCGATATAATCTATCCCAAAGGAACTGCAATAACGATGCTACTCTACTGGCTGCACCGTCAAGAGGACTATTATCCCGATCCTGAAAAATTTGATCCTGAACGATTCAATGCCGATAATCCCCAACCTCCAACTTTTGCATATGTGCCTTTTAGTGCTGGTCCCAGAAATTGTATTGGTAAGATTAATAAGTATATGAAATACGATAAACTTTGATTACAAACGTTACGTTACGTTCTTCAGTTAAGTGTCTCAAATTATACTTCGTGAGTCTATTGGATATGAGATATGAATATCTTCTAATACAAACTGTTTTTTTTACAATTCTCTGAAGCGTCCATATTCAGAAAGTTAAGTTTTCAGATGTGCCAGCACTACAGAACTTAAGACTTATTTTTTGGGAATCCTAATACGTATTCAATACTCATTCGCTCTGTTATCGCCCACACCACAATGGTTACCTGATGATGGGCCAACTAGAGCGAAATCGGTAACATAATTACTAAATTTTTGTGTATCGAGATAGAGTTGAATACTGCCACAACTAAAGTAATTTTATGTCAGAGACCACGAGAGCATGTAGTTAGTTCAAAAAGTACTTGTTACCATATTATGGTTTGTATAATATGGTTATAAGTACGGCAACGGCACATTAGCCATAGTGGGCAGTGAGCTGTCAGTCGTCACTAGTTCGATCCACGTTGTATGTTATTCATGTTTTATCTAGAAGTTGTAGTTAACGTATTTTAATAAATACTTAAAATACACACTAGTGCCTTATTTAAAAGCTTGCTGGTATAGCTTTTACATGGTGTCAGGTGTGAATCAATTACCTAGTAGTACTTCAAAGCGAGATAACGGAAAACTATTTTAGATCGCCAGATCCCCTAGTTTTGGATGGCAATATGGCCAAAAACTGCCGTAGGTTTCAACACAAATTTGAAGTTTTCCTGACGGCTACAGACCTGAACAGCAAACCAGAGGTAAAAAAGATAGCAGTACTACTTAATTTAGTAGGAGATGAAGCGTTAGAATTATATAACACCTTCGGTCTACCGGCTAGTGGAAACACACTCCAAGTCGTCTTGAATAAATTTGAGCTGTACTGTGCACCTAAGAAAAACGTAATTTTTCAGCGATTTAAATTTAATAGCATAATTCAAAAGGAGGGACAGCCTTTCGACAGCTTTGTAACTGATCTAAAAAAAGCTATTCGTTCTACAGAATACCTCAACCAGGAAGAAATTATCAGAAACCGCATTGTGATGGAAGTGTACGAGGAAAATACACAGGAAATATTGCTAAGAGAACCCACCTTAACTCTAGATAAAGCCGTAACATTTTGTCGAACCGTTGAAGCAAGTAAAAGTCAGTCGAAGGCCTTACAAAATGAAGCTGCTGGAATAAGTGCTGTGAAGACATCAAGTAAGAACTGTATATATTATGGATACACACGTAGGGATAATAGGTGTCCAGCATATAGAAAAACATGTGCCAAGTGCCAAGGAAAAAATCACTTTGCTAGTGTATGCAGAAATGAAACAAAATGGAAAAAAACGAAAGTGAACTGAAGAAAGAGCTTAAGAAGAAAGTGCATGTAGTTGTTACTAAAGAGGTAAGAAGTGATAGTGATAGTGAAAACGATTTTTATGTGGACTCTGTATCCAAGGTAGTAGGGTCAGTACACAGAGAGTGTTTAGAAAAATGCCGGATAGAAAAGGTATTTATAGATAATGATTATGTCAATTTTAAGATAGACACTGGTGCAGAAATAAGTATTTTGCCCTTACACATTGTAAAGTCCGTTAAATCTAGTGTTAAGTTCAAAACGTCTAACATGTCGCTAGTGTCATATGGCAGTTCCAAATTTAGAATTAACACAGTAGGTGAGGTTGTTTAGATGTATAAAAGTAAAAATATTTCAAAAAAAAATTTGCTTGCTGATATAGCTTTTACATGGTTTTACCATAACGATTAATATTCAGGATTTCTGGAGGCAAGTGATAATTATCACATTATATATTTTTTTATAAAACAAATGTATTTTAAATGTGTTCAGTTACCATTATTAGGCCTCCAAGACTGTATTCGTCTAAATTTGGTTAAAAGAGTCGATCATGTAAAACTTAAACAAATGAATAGTGTTAATGATGTTATAAATTAATTTCCAAGCAATGTCGAGGGTCTGGGGAAATTTCCTAGTACACATCACATCACTTTAAGAGAAGGAGCTATGCCTAGAATCACTCCTATTCGTCGTGTTCCTAGAATTTTGCATGACCGTTTAAAAAACAAATTAGATGATCTAGAAATGAAAAACATAATAAAGAAAATTGATAAACCAACTGAATGGCTAAATGCCTTGGTTATTGTTGAAAAAAGTAATGGTGATTTACGTTTATGTTTAGATTCTAAGCATTTAAATGAAAAATGCCGGATAGAAAAGGTATTTATAGATAATGATTATGTCAATTTTAAGATAGACACTGGTGCAGAAATAAGTATTTTGCCCTTACACATTGTAAAGTCCGTTGAATCTAGTGTTAAGTTCAAAACGTCATGTCGCTAGTGTCATATGGCAGTTCCAAATTTAGAATTAACACAGTAGGTGAGGTTGTTTAGATGTATAAAAGTAAAAATATTTCAAAAAAAAATTTGCTTTTACATGGTTTTACCATAACGATTAATATTCAGGATTTCTGGAGGCAAGTGATAATTATCACATTATATATTTTTTTATAAAACAAATGTATTTTAAATGTGTTCAGTTACCATTATTAGGCCTCCAAGACTGCATTCGTCTAAATTTGGTTAAAAGAGTCGATCATGTGAAACTTAAACAAATGATGTTATAAATTAATTTCCAAGCAATGTCGAGGGTCTGGGGAAATTTCATAGTACACATCACATCACTTTAAGAGAAGGAGCTATTCCTAGAATCACTCCTATTCGTCGTGTTCCTAGAATTTTGCATGGCCGTTTAAAAAACAAATTAGATAATCTAGAAATGAAAAACATAATAAAGAAAATTGATAATCCAACCGAATGTCTAAATGCGTTGGTTATTGTTGAAAAAAGTAATGGTGATTTACGTTTATGTTTAGATCCTAAGCATTTAAATGAATCCATAAAAAGAGAGCATTTTTTGATACTATCATTAGAAGAAATTTCAGCAAAATTATCGTGTAAACAATTTTTTTACTGTTCTTGACATGCGTGATGGGCAAATAGAACTTGACCCTGAAAGTGCTGAAAATGTACTTTTGGCACACCATTTGGGAGATACCAATTTTTGAGAATGCCCTTTGGCATATCTTCAGCACCAGAAGTTTTTGAAAGGAAAAACTATGAAATTTTTGGGGATATCGAGGGTGTAGAATTATATTTTGATGACTTAATTGTAACTGGTAGTTCAGAAGCTGAACATGATAATAATCTTAGACTGGTTCTGGAAAGGGCGGTGAAATATAATTTAAAATTTAACAAGTCAAAAATTCAATTAAAAAAGGATCATGTTAAATTCTTGGGTGAAATATTTTCTAAAAAAGAAATTAAGCCTAATAAAAATTATGTTAATGCCATAGCAAACATGCCAAATTCGCAATCAAAGTTTATTCCAAACTTTTTAAGTGTGTCTGCTTCATTGAGGAAGCTAAATATGTAGACTGGCAGTGGACTGATGAGCATCAGGATGCAATAGAAAAGTTGAAACATTTGCTAACTAGTAGTCCAGTGCTGTCATTTTTTGACCCAAATAAATCTCTAGAGATTGATACAGATGCATCCAAAGATGGTTTGGGTGCTTGTCTATTGCAGGATGGTCACCCAATAGCGTTTGCTTCGCGAAGTCTTACAAAAACTAAAGTCAAATATGCCCAAATTGAAAAGGAAACGTTAGCAATTCTGTTTGCATGCCAAAAATTTCACGTGTTTATTTATGGACTTGACCTAACAGTATTCAGTGATCCAAGCCCTTAGAGATTATTTTAAAAAAAAATTTACAATCAGTCTTACCTAGAATTCAAACTCTTGAATTACAGTATTAATGTGTGCTATAGACCTGTAAAGTACATGTATATTTCAGATACCCTTTCCAGAGCATATCTAAATGAAAAAGGTTTGAAATCTAATTCAGAAATAGATTTTGCTGTCCATACTATAATTAGCTATCTACCAATCTCTGAAGACCGAAAAAATCAAATTAAACAAATGATTAAAAACGATAGTCAGCTAAAACTGGTAACTGATTTTATAACCCAGGGGTGGCCTGCACAAAGCTCAAAAATCCTAGATGGTGGGAACATATATGCAAAACTTCAAGATAAGCTGTATATTAGTGATCGATTATTAATTTTGGAAAACAAACTTGTAATAACATTAGCACTAAGAAGTGAAATGCTTAAACTTCTGTATGAAGGCCATCTAGGAATGTAAAAGACAAAGGCACGTGCTAGAAAAATTTTCTAGTGACCGGGACAAACAATAGATATAGAAAAGCATATAAAAAGCTGTAAAGTATGTGAAAAATTTTCTTGAAAAAATCCAAAAGAAAAGCTTATGCCTTATCCATTGCCTAGCAGACCTTGGGAACGCATTGGAAGTGACGTATTCACATATGGTAATAAAAGCTATGTAATTATGTTTGATGCATATTCAAACTGGCTAGAGATACTACAAATCACTGATAAAAGTGCCAACTCGGTAATAAAACAAATTAAACCTGTGTTTTCAAGATTCGGTCCCCCAGAGGTTATGATATTTGATAATGTTCCTTTTAATAGTGAAAATTTTAAACAATTTTCAAGCGACTGGAAATTTAATCTTGCATTTAGAAGCCCAAATTTTCCGCGTTCCAATGGATTGGCGGAACAAGCTGTCTCAATATCAAAAAATCTATTAAAGAAAGCATTAGAAGCTGGAAAAGATATTGAAATATCCTTATTAAATTATAGAAACTCACCGTTAAAAGGTATGGATTATTCCCCCTCGCAGTTACTTAATAGTAGAATATGCCAAACTAAACTTCCTACATCAAATGAGTTATTACAGCCCCCATTGTGTAAAGATGTAAAAGAACGGTTAGAGAAATGTTCATTGAATTTAAAATATGATAAAAGTAATAAATTTCTTAAACCATTGGAAGAAGGGTCAAATGTCACCATATATAATCATGTCAAT